GCTGCTGCTGCTGCTGCTGCTGCTGCTGCTGCTGCTGCTGCTGCTGCTGCTGCTGATGCTCGTGTTGGAAGCAATGCTGCTACTGCCACTGCTGCTGCTGGCACATGTATCGATGCTGCTGCTGCTGTTGTTGCTGCTGCTGCACCTGCTGCTGCATCTATATGATGTCTGCTGACGAGGCAGTACCCTGCTGCTGCTGCTGTTGCTGCTGCTGCTGCGCCTGCTGCTGCTGCTGCTGCTCGTCCTGCTGCTGCTGCTGCTGCTGCAGCTGAGTTATACAGCAGCTCCTAATTTTTCTGCTGCTGCAATCGCCATAGACAAATATCAATAGAAAACAGCAGATACGCAGATACAGTAACAGCAACTGCAGCAGCAGCAGCAGCAGCAGCAGCAGCAGCAGCAGCAGCAGCAGCTTCGTGGGGCCCTGGGGCCCTATACTGGAGGCCCCCTGTACCCTATAGCTGCTGTCTTTCATTTGTTTTTATTTTTTTATTTTTTATTTTATTTTAATTGTGCGGGTTGCTGCTGGTGCTGCTGTTGTTACTGCTACAGCTGCTTCTGTTGCTGTTATTGCTGCTGCTGCTCTGCTGCTGCTGCTGCTGCTCTAATGCTGCTGCTGCTATAGGCTGCTGTTGCAGTGGTTGCTGCTACTGTAACCTACAAAAAAGAATAATGAGGTCGCAGCAGCAGCAGCTAGTGCTGCTGCTGCTGCTGCTCCTGCTGCTGCTGTCGCTGCAGCAAGTGTAGTTGTGTACAGCTGCTGCAGCCTGCTGCTGCTGCTGCTGCTGCTGCTGCTGCTCTTAGGGGCAGCAGCCGTTCGAGTGGTAGTTCAATCAGGGACATCCTCTACTGCTGCTGTCGCTGCTGCTTGTTCTGCTGCTGTTGCTGCTGCTGCTGCTGCTGCTTGTGCTGCTGCTGTTGTTGATACCTGCTGTTGCTGTTGCTAGCTGCTGCTGCTGATAGTTGCTGCTACAGCAATGCTGAGGAGACAGCAGCGGGACGAAGCAAGGCAAAGAGGCAGCAGCAGCAGCAGCAGCAGTTGATGCAGTGCAGCAGCAGCAGCAGCAGCAGTTGCTGCAGTGCCTGCAGCAGCAGTTTCTGCAGTGCCTGCAGCAGCAGCAGCAGTTGCTGCCATATAAGATCACTCTAAAAACAGAAGCAGCAGCAGCATTAGCAGCAGCAGCACTAGCAGCAACTAGCACTAGCAGCAACGGCGCTATGCAGACGCCGCGAGGTGTAGATACACCCTGCTGCAGCAGCAGCAGCAGCAGCAGCAGCTGCTGCTG